ATGGGATGGGATGGGATGGGATGGGATGGGATGGGGGTGGAAATGGGATGGGGATGGGATGGGATGCGATGAGGATGGAGATGAGAAGGGATGGGATGGGGAAGGTGATAGGGGTGGGGACAGGACTGGGGACAGGACTGGGGACAGGAATGGGGACAAGGATGGGGACAGGGATGGGGACAAGGATGGGGACAGGGATGGGACAGGGATGCGGAGGGGATGGGGAGGGGATGGGGATGGAATGGGGATGGTGACAGGGACAGGAACAGGGATGGGGATGGGAATGGGGACAGAGATGGGGACAGGGACAGGGATGGGGACAGGGACAGGGGTGGGGACAGAGATGGGGACAGGGGTGGGGACAGGGATGGGAATGGGCACAGGGATGGGGACAGGGACAGGGATGGGGACAGGGACAGGGGTGGGGACAGAGATGGGGACAGGGGTGGGGACAGGGATGGGAATGGGCACAGGGATGGGGACAGGGACAGGGATGGGGACAGGGACAGGGGTGGGGACAGAGATGGGGACAGGGGTGGGGACAGGGATGGGAATGGGCACAGGGATGGGGACAGGGACAGGGATGGGGACAGGGACAGGGGTGGGGACAGAGATGGGGACAGGGGTGGGGACAGGGATGGAGACAGGGAGGGGGGGACAGGGACGGGGACAGACCTGGCTGCCCTCCTTCTGCCAAAACACGGCGGGCGGCGGGTTGCCTTTGCTCTGGCACTGGAAGGTCACGCTCTGGCCGGGGGTGACAGTCTGGTCGCGGGGCCCGGTGACGAGCTGGGGGGGCACTGCCGCAGCACGGGGAGAGAAAAGGGCTTGCCCGGCTGCTTTGCCAGCACCCTTGGGTGCTCCCTCGGGCACCCCCCCTTACCGTGCACCGTGAGGGTACCCGACGCCTCCGACCTGCCCACGCTGTTGTCGGCCACGCAGGTGTAGGTGCCCTCGTCCTCCGCCCGCAGCCGGCTGATCCGCAGGGTGTTGTCGGGCAGCACCTCCCACCTGGAGGGGGGAACCCCGCGAGGCCGCGGCGCCGGCAGGGTGCCGGGGCGCCACGAGGGCACGGGGTGCCGCGGGGATGTGGGATGCGGTGAGGATGCAGGATGCCATGGGAATGTGGGATGTGATGGGGATGCGGGATGTGACGGGGATGCGGGATG